AAGTAAGGGGGAAGTAAGGGGCAACGAAAGGAGGAAGAAAAGAAAGTGATGTGTGGTTGAAGATAGGGTAAAAATGTAATTTTATATTTATAATTTAACATTTAATAATTTTATTTTTATAATTTATTTCATTATCAATCCTATGTGGCAAGTTTTTAACGGAAGGACTAAATCGGGGTCAAAATGGTAAACAGTAGAGACCAAATCAGGGATTTTTTTAGTTCAGGGATTAAATCGGGGGTCCGTACAATAGTTGAGGGACCAAAATGGGGTTTTAACCTTAATAATTTCGCAGTGAACTTGAAAAGGAGTGGGCTTTGCAATTGTCCCTGTAACAACTTTCGTTTCTTCTTGAATGAATGTAGTTCTGCTCTTAACTTCTTCAACATGCACACTTTATGCAGCTCTGGATTGGCCAAGAGACGTTACACCAAGTGTGTTGAAGTCCTCTACTGGTTTAGATAATTAGATGGTACCTTTGTTTTAATTTCTATGATTTGCCTAAGTTCTGAACGTTGTTGCATCTTCTTGATTTTAACTAGTTTGCATATAGAAGTCTCTGCAGCTTCAGCTGATTGCATAATCTTAGATGATTGGGATTGGAATAATGAATGTCGTTCTATTGGTTTTTTGGTTGTTTTATGGTGGTTGATATTCAAGCAGTTTTTTTAATCTAAGAAATTTAAAGTAAAATTTCATTGAAATAGTTATGGATTGCCTTTTCCTCTTTCAGTTTCTAAATTTTCTCCAAAAAAGCGGGGTTCTTTGAGAACCTTAAGCATTGCAGTGGTTGCTCTTCTGGGTCGAGTCTCTTATCTGCTTTCTCAAGGGATTGATGTCAGGCCTAACCTTGCTGCCAAACTGGGCGTAGCCTTTTTAGACTCTAACTTGCTTGGCGGTACATGTCTAGCTTTAATCTGTCAAGTTACTGGCGTCCGTATAGGCATCTGATTCTAGTTCAAGAAGCAGGCCGCCTGCTTGTTGGTATGTAATTCTTGCATTGTTCACTTTAATGTTGTTATGGTTTCTTGAATACAAAATCTGAAATATAAATCTCCGCATTCGAACACCTTTTGCAGAGTCATTTTTGCATGTCTAGGAGTGACCAAAAGGCTGATGTTCTCTTTAGTGTCTTCTGGTTCTTTGACAATGATATAGATATATCACATTGGCTTACCAGCGTAGTTAATTTTCTTTTGCTAATTTATTTACAGCATACCTTATGGGTTGCCCAATTCGTGGAGTGATTTTAGATCCAATTGCTACAATGCAGATGGGCATCCAAGGGCAGGTAGTCATTTTGATATATATTTTTTTTTACTACATTTTGTTCTGAGTATTTTTGTAAAGTCAATCAAATGTGCATGGTGTATGCTGTTTGATTCTTAAGCAATATAATCTCTTGTGGACAGCTTTAGTTTATGGAAGTTATAAAGGCCCAAACTCCCCTTTATTCTACAGGCTGGAACTCGGTTTTGGGATGAGAAAATGAGTAATAAGCTGGCTAAGGGGCGATCTACCTTCAGCAGGTTGGTATCACGAGGTGGTGTCTGATGTTTGATGCTGCCTAAAGATTTAGATGTTCTTTCCTTAAATGCAAGTTTAGCGTCCAAATTATATTTATTTCACTTACTATTTGAAAATTTTGTCGATTTCCTTGTTTCCTTATGGATTTTATTCATCATGTCTTTGATGATCAGTTTTTTGAAATATTGACTGCTGACTCTAAAGAAAATTTCCCAATCTAAATTCTAGTTTCTAATTCTTGTTCCTTCTACTTCTTCCTCTTTTCCTCTTGTTATTTTTATTTTTATTTTTTATCTCTTTTTCAACTTCTTCTTCTATGCTCTGAACCTATTTGCTCTTGTGCTACATGAGGTCATAAGGTCTGCAGTTCCATTAGTTTCTAGTTATGATCACTGATATTTCAAGTGGAATAAATCTGTCTAAACGGGAATTGAAATAAGCTGTTCTTCTAGGCACGCTGCATAAGTGCAGAGCATGTTCTTCTCTCTTAAGGTTGTTGGTAAATACGCCATTAGCAAAAATGCATATCAGGAATATTTTTCTACCAATTTTTATTATACTGATGCATAATTATATGATCAGGTACTGCATGGTGCTCTTTGCTGGTATCGCAGCTGAAGCTCTGGTTTACGAGGTGGCTGAGGGTGGGGAGAATGACGAGAATGTTCAGAATTCCGAGCACCAAAATCCCATACAAACGAAAGCGATAAAGAAATTGAAACAATAATTTAATGTGATTTGATTTGTATACTTCTCAACAAGTCTACGTCCACGAGAAAGAGAGAAATAAATCCATTATTAATAAAAAGAGTACAATAATTTAGAAGCTCTCTCACTCAAGAAGCACTCAACACCCTAACTTCAATGTATAGAAGCTCACAAATTCTCCCTAATACTCCCTCTTAATTTACATAAGGATTTCTCACACTTTCTCTCTTTCTTTTATCTTACAAAAGCTCTCACTCAATTTCTCTTGCTTGCTCCTAGTCTTACTTGCCCATTCCCTTTGCATGCATGGGAATTTATAATGAAAAATTCAACCACCTATGCACCATTTTTCTTTGCCTCATTACTACCCATCCATGATTTTCTTTATTCATTAAATGGTTCAACATGCAATCTTGCATGATTTCAACAAAGCAATTTTAGCCCATAACTAATTAAGTTGGTAAAAAAATTTCACCATATGAAAAATTCATGTGTTCACATGCATGTGGTTGGACTTTTTACCAACAGAAAACATGTTTTGCACCATCTTTGTTCTTCTGCGACCCCTATTGTCCATAGCTCAGGTACATCTGCAACTATCTATTTTCATGCTATTACTCCATTATTAGGAACTAACTATTCTCACCTAGAGAGAGAAAAAAAATGCTAATTATTGGTTTTCATTACCATGAGAAGATGTTAAATCAAGCAAAGTGGTCTGTTTTACAATCTTTCAACTTGCTTAATATTAAATGGCACAGGCACACTCATCAAGCTGCTGTCACAGCTTTGGAAAGAGGTGGTGGTTTTAGTATTGTAATTAAGAGATTTGAGGAAGCCATATCGCTATTCCGCTGTCACTCCCATTCTAAATCGAGCAAAAATAAAAAAATCCATGCTCCATTGCTCCGTGTAGGATTTTAGTCCATTTGAAGTGGTATCAATCACCAATCAACACCGACTCTTGTTGACCGTATTGAGATTGAGTCATAGGACGTCTTTAATCATGTGTAGTACTAACTTTCCCCTTTTTTTTTTTCTTATGAAATGCATAATACACATTATTTTAATAGTTCATAACAAAAAAAAAGTCTTGTATAGTTTAAATTATTTTAGACTAATAACTTTAATTATTATATAGAGGTGAGCTTTTTGATTTCTCTTTATTTAATAATTTTTGTTTGTAATATAAATTTATATTTTTATTTAATATAATTTAGACTATAAAGTATAAAACTTATTTCATAATATGGTTTAAATAAAAAAGTCTACATGAGAAGGACAATTATAAATCTATTCAAATTTTTGTATTTAAAATTAATATATATATTTTTGTCACGAGTCAAAAAATACAAGCAATGACCAAAGCAATGAAAGTTTGCAACCCAAGTTGTTGTAAAAGGTGACTAAATTAAAATATTTGATGTATTAACTATTTA